CTTGGACAACAAGATTGGCGTCGTTTACCTGTAAATGGTTCAAGATGGGACCGAAAAGTTACACCTGTACTAAATTGAAAGACACCAGAAAGAAAAGTGTCAAAATGTACTCACTAGTATTCTAACAATTTCTTTGCGATTCCATCCAAGAGGATTATATGCTACCACCACCTGAAAGTGACCATTTTACAAAATATGATCGAAACAAAAGAATTATTTCTTGAAGAAAAAGAAAGAAAGAACAATGCAGAAAAATTACCAAGCTCTTCCCTTGTGGAATATCCTTCTCTGTTGGTGGACAGTAGCTGATGTTGAGTAGTTGGCACTGTTAGAAATGGTTGGAAGTTGCAGTGTCAGACAAAGAAAGGAAACTACACTTTTCAAAGTAAAATGGCTCGTCAGTTGTATAACATCTCTTAATGCCTTACCTGGCTGAATGTATTTCCAGATTCTTCACATTTATCTCCGGAATTTTTCTTGGTTAGGCACGAGAGAGCGGAAGATGCAACTGCTTCGGCCTTCAACATGAGAAGTTTTTCAGTTTTCAGTGATGAAAAATAGAAATTTGACATAAATGATTATAAATAATGCAGGATATGAAATCGAAAACAACTAATAGGGTCGAAGTAAGGAGGAAGTTTGCTGCCAACCTCAGTGACTCCTATTGCAAGGCGTTTCGAGTAATCATCGGTTGTATGTTGTTTGGCAGTACCGCTTATGGCATCATGGTGCTGTGCAATACCTAGAGCATCTCCCAAATCAAATGTATTGGGACCATTGGATCTCTTTCCCACAAAGAATTCAAGTTGTCTTGCTGCCTATTCAAAGATACCAAAAATTTTAATTCGATTTTTTCATAACAACATGAATAAAGAGGCTTCATTGCAAACTTTTTTACATTGACATGTACAGTTATGCATTGAAAATCATATACAAAAGATAATATCCACTAAGCTTCCAAACAAATCGTTTAAAGTCTGGCCGACTTGTGAAATATCCGGTCGTATAAGCATTTTGATGTCATACCAGATAAAAGCCACTAAGCTTCCGAACAAATCGTTTAAAGGCTGGCCGACTTGTGAAAAATCCAGTCCAATAAGCATTTTGCCTGCTTGCATAACTGCCAAGAATCATCAGATCAGACTAGCATATATGTAGTAGATTAGCCCAGGGAAAAGAAGAAGTGATAAAGCAGATGAAGACGAACAACGACAAGGAGAAGAACATTTAGTACTTACGGAAAATAGTCATCGGTTTTAGTTGGCCATGGCTCATCTGCAGCACTTTTTGCATCAGTATACAAGGATGGTGTAGAATACAATGCATTAACTCTGCCATCCTGAGAAAATGGAGCAGAAAAATAGCGATATTGAGAAAGAAAGACAAAGTGGAAACTTAAACTAATTTTATATCTGCAATCACAGATTTCTTTAGTTATTTAAACATGTGGTTTGAAACAATCCATTGTGCATCAAGGGTGAATCAAGCTCGGAAGCTATAATTCTGAAAATTTTAGTGATTAAATCGACTTAATGAGAACTACCTTGTTAACATAGTGAATAAATTTATCCATCTGTCGGAACCAAGTTTCGGCATATTAATACTGGAAATCATCTCCCATTGTCCACATAATATGGTTTGTCCTTGTCACATTGACCTATAGAAAGAATAAAGGAAACATAAAAACTGTCATATGAATGCTTATTGTTCACCTAGGAAGATATAAGCCAACATGATTCCAACATCACAACTCGAAAAACAATGAAACCCGAAAAGGAGCAAATAGTTAACTTGGATCATTGCAGCGTTAATAGTCATTAACCCGCTGTTCAACATTGTAACTGAATAGAAGAGGGTTATCCTGCAGTTGTGGAAAATAAATACACGAGGAACACATAACCTGAAAGCAGTCGATACGTAGATCTCATAAACTCTTGTTAAACCATTACAGAACCTGGACAGGCACAGAGTCATCATTCACTTCGAAATGGAAACCAGCTGGAGGACTATAATGAACGGGAAAAGCATTTGCAAAAATCTGCAGATAGTCCAACAAGTAAATTATTAATTCAATGGAACTCCTTGCAGAAAGAAAAGACTGCAGGATTTTTCAATTCCAAACTTGAGATGAAGAACCAAAAGTTTTGGATCCTTGCCATATGACCTCGAGAGATTTTTCATTTGTCCTTTGTGCTCTGTCCTGGTAATCAATTCTTGCAAAATGCATTGAATCAAAGCCTACCTGCTGGAACAATGTAATCACCCAAAACGTGTTATTCTCCAGATTAAATGGTGAAACAGAAAGCAGTTAAATTGTTGAGATGCACCTCAGCACCAAGGAGGTAGCCTTGCACAGCAGAATGACCAAAAGGATCTATTTGCCATCCGGCTAGAGGAACCGTGTTGAACTGTTCCTTTATTGTGCGATGGCCTAAAGTCGTTTGACCGATCATGTCTATGTAATATGTTGCAGCTTCATCATGCATACACCAACCACCATTACCGCAAATACATCCTAAAAGGCCTGTTTCAGTATATACGCAAAAATCAAAACTTCAGATATCAAGTTGCTTGGGAATCAACATACACGAATTCCAGTTGGCCTGCATCTACAAGTTTTTTCACTTGTTCTTGTATTTCAGGACTTTGTTCTTGGAAAAAAAACCTATTTTCATATCAAACTTCATTATTCGATGCCGAGTGACAATCAAACTCGAAACTAGAAGAGAAACAAGAGAGGAAACAGATTCCAATATGATGAGCTGGATGGATTTACCATCTCAGCAAAAACAAATTTTCGATTCAGGTCACGACTCAATGATTCGACAACCGAGTCGAGCACATTCTTAACACAAGCACCCTGCACAAGAAAATCACTTAAAAGCGTCAAACACCAGAGTAATAACATGAACATGGTGAACTGCTATAAAAATATATGAATCAACCTGAATGCTGTTGTTTGATCCAACATAGTACTGATCAACATTCTTCAACCAACCAACATCATCATGTGAATGTGGAACCAAACGAACGTTCAGTTTCCCGGGAACGATCTGGACACCAGTATTTTACTTCGCATAAACTCCAACTGTCCTCACATAAAAACAACGAACAAGAACAAGAACAACAAAAGCGGAAGCCGGAAAAATCTCATACTGTATCATTTTCTTCATCTTTTCACAGCAATAAGCTAGATCTTCACATTGTTACATTCATAAACACGGAGTAGACAGTTCCAAGCATCATAAATGGCAACAACCAAAAGACAAAACAAACCAACTTTGGGCTATTTGCTGGCTTAGGCCAAATCTCACTGTATGGTAAGTTAATAATGGGGATCAAATAAATGGATTTTCTTAACTTTAATAGGATGACTAAATTAGGTTTTAATTAAATAAAATGGCAACACAACCCAACATGGAAACCTTTCCATAAAACATGAAAAACAAACTCGAAATTCATCCTCAAAAAAACTTAACACCAATGATAAAAGTCAAACTATCAGATAAAACGCTAAACTATCGTCACCATAGATAAAATCGTGCCGAACAACAGTTTGATAAAAATAAACAAAAACAAACACCTTAAAAATATGCAAAAAGAGTAGTCCGTTGTGTGAACAACATGAGAGAATATTAAGGACTAAAAAGACAGTTCAAAAAATCCCGATACCAAAAATATTATAATGTTAATTCGCTGTCTGAACCATATGAGATCCTGGCCGTTGAATGTTGTTATCTAACCCCAACCTAGAAGTGCACATAACCTCCTCCTGGTTACTAAGCCACAGGAGGATTCAGGGAAACAATGAGAATAAAGTAAGGTAACATTTCAAGTAGATGGACCCAATGATGAATCCGTGATTGTCCCTGCCAAATCTAAGATTCGGGCAAAACTAAAACGACACATATGTCATTGGTTTTAGCTCTACCTCTTCCAGACAAAATCATAGTTTCTATCCGTTTAATGTATGTTTTTCATGAATGATAAAAAAAAGTTTATTTTCATACGCATTCAAATAACATAAGTGAATTATTGATTTCAGTTAACAACTTGCAAGTTTTTCTACTTTATTTTCGATTTATTATCGATATTCAATCTATTAATTCGAATTAGATATTATATAGATCTATTTATGAAGAGGATCCCTTTAACTCAAATTGCTTCGTTCACAACGTTTTGCAAATCTTTAATTGTTAATATATGTGCTTAACACTAAACAGGTGGTGCACTTCGGGGACACTTGTTTTTATTCAAATTTCTTCGTATTTATTCACTTTTGAGTTTGGTTTTTCAGGAATCACGAGAGAAAATTACAAAAAAAATAAAAAGTTAAATGAATAATAAAAGATGTAGGTTGACATTATTTAGAGGGCTAGAAACCTATAACGAAAAAGACTTTAGGACAGGTAAGCTGGATGTATTAGGATAATAAGTTGATAAATTAACTTGGGCTAATAAGAGGATAAATAACACTCTTTAATTATTTTTATAATAGTATAAAATAATTATAAAATAGTATTTGTTCGTAATCTTTTTTTAATAGACAACACATACACTTTAATAAAATTGTTTGAACCCAAGATCTCAAATGAGGATAACACTCTTTAATTACTGAAACCACTCAATGGATAAATAATTCATTTATATTAATTAGATTTTAAGTTAAATGCTAATCATATTTTATACAGTCAATAAAAGAATCTTGTACATACATATGATAATGATTAATACCTGATAATTAACAGATAAGATAGTAATCGATTGAATCTTGACGTAATGGGGTTGAATGTTATGATGGCACAAATAGGGTTGAATTTATTTTCTGCTTTAGAACTCATCATCTTCAAAGGTGAATCTTTATGATGTTGAAAGCAACAAGAAATCTACATTTGGCACCTACTGAGATGAGACTTTACAATTGACCCAAACCCAATTTTAACCGTCCCAATTATTAACTATAAACGGACATAACAACCTTTATTTTCCTTTACCAAGTGTTGCGAGAAAATGATGCCATTGCAAATAAGTTTCCAGCTATAAGAATATAGTCACCCTGTACTGCATATATATTATATAGAATTGGTGGAAACATGAATGAGACGCATTTCAATGAAAATTACTGAAGCGCTTACAAACCCTTTGAAACAAATAATAACACCATCACCATCCATCTTGGTGGCTACAACGAAGAGCTTCCAAATCTGCACAAAGGGACTAATTTTTTTTTAAAAAAAGACCACAAAAAAATATAGCATGCATTGATGGTCGCTATGTATAGTGTGTTGAGCAAAATCAAAAAGTGCAACATGAAGGAGAAACAAATCTGAACAAACATCACTTCCCTTCCTTCTTTTCTGGTGCCTGGTCCTCATCCTGCTTCTGCTGGGACTGAAGGGTGGAATAAACATCATCAGAAATTATTGAAACTAAACGGGAACCAATAGCACTGTATTCAATACAACCGTGAACCACCAAGAACTGCAAAACATCCTCCAATCCCTACTATAAATAATTTTATCAAGACACTGAGTTTGATGAGCTCACCTCTGACTGATTTTGCATGGAAGCAAGCACCTCCTTAACGGAAGGATCATTTGGATCTACCCCGGGAAGCTGCATGAGTAATTATTTTAAAATTAATTATCTTTATTTTAGCTATGGTGTAAGGAACAAAAATAGATAAACAGAAAATGCTGCAGACATACCGATGCAAGGATGGAAGATACAAAGGACTGGTCTGCCAACAGCTTACTCATATCTGCCTCAGTAGATGAATCTTTTGTACTGTCTTGCACAGATAATTGAAGAGCTGAGAGAATCGGAAATACATGGGATTATATTAGCTTACACAGAAAAAGAAACTAAAATGAACATATCCAGAGTCTAAACTTGCATAAAAAAAATTCGGAGACAAAGGACAACTAATTTTAAAAGATGATTCAACTTGCATGGTAAGCTACAAAAGGTGAACGTTTTATAATTAAGGGTTAAAAAGCCCCTAAATTTTTTAAGGAAAAAAATCAGTTCAGCCCTTGAACTTTTTCCCAACACCTATGTAACTGGTTTTTCTCACAAGGCAAGGAAAAGTTATTATAAATGTTGCAGATTCTCCAGCGGACAATTATAAAACAGGACTTAGGCGCACTTACCTAATGCTAGCTCTGGATCCTCAGCAGCTGCATCTGATATCTCAGTATCCTGTAAATCTTGGGTAGAGGCAGGTTCATCCACTGACATCGCAAGAGCCTGCTGTAGTAAAGTATTATCATCATCCTGTAACAAAAGCAAAGTTCAGTTGTATCTAAACATGAAAGAATATGTAGGGGTCAATCATGTGCCATTTTATGATATGTTTTTTCCACTTGAAGAAGTTCTATCCAATCAAACCAAGTAATAATGAGACAAAATAATATGACCCTTTTACAAATGGCACAGATTAAAAGTGAGTATAATGAAACTAACTGGAATTTCATTTTTCTTATTATCAGCTCCTGAAGGTCCCTCACTGGAACGTTCAGTCATTGTCACATCTTGTTCTGATGCCTCCTCTGCTGCCTTTTTAGCAGCTGCTTCTTGCCTGGCTCTCTCCTCTTCCATTGAAACTCTAAGAGCAAGGGCCAGTTCAGGATCAAGGCTGGGATCCACACCGAACTCGAAACCCGAGACGCCACCAGCTGCAACTGCTGCCGCCGATGCTGCAAAACCACTTCCACCTTCCCCATCCCCAGTGAAGATGGGGGTACTGCCATGGATGCAAGAAACATCCAGCTTCAGCAATAATACCACAATTATGACCAATTAGCATACCGGAAAAAGAAAACACCTGAATCACTAACCTTATAAGTACATCAGAGAGAGCATTAGGACCAGCAGGAACATGAACAATATGACTTGTATCATTATTGTTAACAGCAGTAAGAAGTGCTTCAAGCTTCTCTTTCTTCCCTTCATCATCTTCACCAAAATTTACGATATCAAGTGCTACACTATTCTTTTTCAACTTCTTTCCAATCATCTCCAACACCTTCTTATCATGCGTGACAGGGCTGCTAGCAATCAAAGCACATCTTTACAACCAAAAACATAGAAAGAAAACATTTATCAGTTAACAGCTAAAGGCAGCAATAACAAAAAGGCACCTTCCAGCAAAGACAATAATTCTTTGTTGCTGTTTTTTATTCTGTCGATGCTTAAGCGCCAACTGAGCTACTTGGATCCCAGCTGCCAAGTTCATTTCACCACCTATTTCTAAGCCTAGATTATATGATAAGCCAAAGCTCCAATTTAGCAACTTTTAGCATGATACAATGTTAAGAGAATTGGAATATGTAGCTAAAATAAGCTAAGAAACGAACCGTGCATGCAAGCTAAGATTTTGCCAAGATCACTTGTAGGAGTGACCAAAACACGAACACCTTTTCCTGCCATTGTTAAAACTCCAACTGTATTCTCTGGATTAGACTGTAAAACGGAACCCTCCATTTCAATAAAAGCTCAAACCTTCTCCAACAATCAAATTGTTTCCTTTTTTAAATCCTCAAATTCAATAAAAGCTCAAACATATATTTTAAAATAGAAATCAAATTGTTTCCTTTTCGAAATCCTGTTTACCTGAGTTTTAGCTCCGCAAATAAGGTTGACAGCATCGGCCTGAGCCTGAAACCGAGAGGGAGCGTAATCACCATTCCGCATCCATTCCGAATTATCAATGCAGATCATCGTTGCCTGCGAGTGCACAGAAGTTTAAGATCAAAACAAATTTAAGTGAAAAGGGAATCGAAAGGTTTTGAATTTGGGGTAGAAAAGTTAAATTGAGGTTCTGGATTACCTCGAGCACCATGATAGAACGATGGCGAAGAGAAACGAAGGAAGGGATCTAGAGAAAATGAAGAATTTTGGGCTTACAAGAAGGGGTTTTTTAACGAGGTATTCTTATAAAAAAAAGTTACAAATCTAATCTGGGTACTTTACTTGAAATGGAGGAGATGGGTTGCTGATTAGAAAACGACGAAGTATTGATTTGAACAACAGTTGCTCTTTGAATATTTATAGGCTACGGACTATGTAGAGAGCCATTGTTGCCACGAGAAATGAAAGTGGGCCCTAAATAAGATTACGACGCCGTTTTACTGGACTAGATGAGTCCCGAAGGAATAAGGAAACACCTAGAACCATTCCTCCTATTGTTCTTATTATTTGGGTAAAATAATGAAGAACCAACATTACAAAATCTCATCTGCCACAATAAGCTTTTAGCAGTTCTTCGAACTCTGAAGACAGGTTGTCAAATTGAAGAACATGGAAGACATCAGAGTTGACTAGCTTTACCAATTTACCAGTCACCTTATTCCTATCCTTTTTCACATGTTTGACCATAATACTCCAACGTTACCTGCATATCTCACGAACGTGGAGAAGTATTGTGGAGAAACCTTGCTGCACAGACAGTTTGTAGTTGGTGAATGACTTCCGTACTATCAGATTCAATTATCAAATGTCGAAACTCCATGTTTCAGACCAGTATAGATCCCCATAACTTAGTCTCCAATGCTAAACAGACCCCAGCAAACTTTGAGAAGTGAGAACCCAATTTGCCATCTTCTTTTATGGTCGCGAAACACCCCCCCCCCACATGAAGCACGACTATCAAGCTCGGATTTAGCGTCATCAGTATTTAACTTGATCCAATCAACCGGAGGAGGGGGCCAAAGATTCGAACTAGCCCTACTCAGGGAGCTCAGACAGCCAGTAGCAGTACGGTTTACAAAAGCATGCTGCATCATTAAGAGAAAGTTGCAACTTTTATCAAGAGCGGAACCATTAAACTCCATCGAATTTACAATATCATTCATATACAACCAAAAGTTCAGAGAATAACGCCAAAAAATAAATCCCAATTAGATGGGTTAATAGCAAAATATTGCAACTTGGTGATATTTAAACCAATCCAGCAACCAAGATCCATCAAGGAACTCATCCACTTTGTCCCTTTTTATCAACATTGACAAATAGAATAAGAATTAGGATATAAACGAAGAATGTGGTTTATATCTTCCACATCCACTTAACAAATCGGACAATGGCTACTAATCGTAAAGTGTTTTCGCACATGCAAAACATTGGTTATCAGTTTATCACATCAAACCAGCCACATAAAAATCTTGATACGTTGAAGACCCGGAAAGCGATGGATCTTCTTCTAGAGCAGATTCTCAGGGCCCTCCGACAAACCACTTCTGTTTTCATATGCTGAGCGAACCGTGAAGTTTCGATTCTCACTGCCCGACCAACCTACTCTGTCTTCCAAAATAGAAGCCTTTGGCCCTTTCATCACAGCTATGTGAAATAAAATTGACCAAGGAAGCAACCTTTGAAATAAATTTCAGCGCCAATGACCTTATTGATCAACCATGTTTGCCACACGTACACCACTAAGCCTCGGGATAACATGTCGATGCACATAATTGATTAACGGACCAGCATTCGGGACCCAAACATCAAGCCAGAAGTCCACATTCAAACCATTGTCGATACTCCAGCACATGTGACTGTGCACATCACTCCAGACTAGATCAAGCCCTTTCTAGAATCTCGAGCAGTGCCCATTCCAAAGAAATAACGGGATGCCTTCCTCGCACTTATATTTAGTACGAAGAAAACAAACCCACAGAGCATCTTTCTTTTCAACCAAGTTAAATGCCAACTTCATGAGGTACGCTTCATTCCGAGTACACATCGAACAGAATCTAAGACCTCCTTGAGCGATCGGCTTACAAACCTCTTCCTATCGATCAAGGTAGACACCCTTATTATCCGATGAAATTCCTCATTGAAGACACTAGTTTTTTTTCATTTGGTTTTTTCTTTATTTATTATTATTCTTATTCTTATTTTATTTATTTATTATTATTATATATTATTATTATTATTATTATTATTATTATTATTATTATTACAGGCCCAAATCATACCCAACCCAATTACAAATTGGGGCCCAGAACCACAAGCCCAACCCGATTCAGCTCAAATTGTTGGATCTGGCCTTGATCCAACGGTCCACAAGAGTCCAGCATGAAGCCCTAGGGTTTCATAACCCTAGGTTATCACCCAGCCGCCGCCTCTGCCACTCCACTGCTGACGCTCCCATTGCTAGGTGACCTAACGCGCTGCAGCCACGACGCCGCCGCCTCGAAGAAGTATCCAGAAGCGTCGTGTCACCACCCACGTCGAGACCCTATTATGAGTCACCACTAGAGGTTTAGTGACTCACTGAGGGCCATCCTTATGATCGGTTCGAGGGGAACACTATCGATGGCTATAAGAAGCCATCGACCACCTGCAAACAGAGAAAAACCCGATAGCAAGAAAAGACAAATGGTAGCAACCAAGAGAGACCATCAACAACAAAAAAAACCAGCACGAAATAGAGACCAACAACAACCCAGTATCAAAAATAAAAGAAAAGAGAGGAGAGAAGACTTACCTTCATTGGAGCCTCCATACACCGACGTAGAACCGAGAGTTCGAAGGTAAAAAAAATAGATCTACGTCGATCTAAAGAGACTTAGGGAAAAAGGAGACCGGAACAGTCATTAGGGCGTTAGATATCTCTTTTGAGGGGTTTTGTAATTTTCCGGCCACCATCGACGGTGGCCGACGGTGGCGATCGACGCCGGAGTACGGTGGCATGTGGCATGCGATTGCCGGTTGCCGGTTCTATGGTATTTATACCTCTCCCCGAACGACGCCGTTTTGGGGAGGGGTGTATTTGTAATTTAGTGTATGACTAAACCTTTTTCGTAGCCATTCTAAGTTTGTAATATTCTAATTTAGTTACTGAAATCTATTGTTGAGTCTTTTAATTCGGTTTCTTAATTTTAATTTTATTTATTTTAGTCATTTACATAAAATAATAGATAATATTAGGTAAAATAATAGATTTAGTCCTCTAATTTTAATAATTAATATTTTAATCCTGAATAACATGTTTTAATTTAATTTAATTTGATATCCGAATTTTATATATATTTATTTTAGTCACTAAATTAATAATAAGGTAAAATAGCATGTTTAGCCCCTATAATTTTAAATGATTAATTACAAATTAGGGCACTTTATTTTAAAATGTTATAATTTAGTCACTAATTTTAATACTTTCATTTAATTACTAGTTTTATTACTTTTTATATTTTAATATTATAGTTTTAATTTCATTTATTTTAGTTATTGTTTTAATTTTATATTTTATTTTCAATATATTTAATTATTATTATTATTATTATTTAGTCATATAAATATATATATAATAAATAATATTTATTTATTTATTTTTATTTGTTTTCTATTAAATAAAAATCCTATTTATAAATTTAATTTTATATTACTTTTAGATAAAATAATAATATTTTAATATTTATTTATTTTTTAATATTAAAGAAAAGGATTGTCTTAAAGTAACTAGAAATCCTTTTCTGATATTCTTAAATAATCCTATTTTTATAAATTACATATTAATTTATTTTAATTATTTTTAGAGAAATATTTTATTAATATTTATTTTTTTAATATTAAGAAATGGGCTGTCTTAAAGCACCTAGAAGTCATTTTCTGATATTTCTAAGTAAATAAATATCTTATTTATAAAATTATAAAAATTAATATATTTTTTCTTAAAATTATACTAATAAATTTGAAATAACAGGATTATGAATTAAATATATTTTTGAATTTTTAAATTTCCAATAATAGAGACAATTTATAATTAATGAGTACCAATTTTGGGCATTATAGGGGTGCTAATCCTTCCCTAAACGTAATCGACCACAAATCCATTATTTACTAAATTTTTTTTGTTATACACAGATCAATTTATCTTTTAAATTATGTTTTCTTAAAAACTATTTTAAAAGGTTATTTTTAGGTATTTAACTTATCTAACCCAAAAAATGTCAATGGCGATTCCTAAAACATTTTGAAAATCAAAATCATTTATTTATTCATTTTACTTTTCCCGCCAAGTAAAAATTTCGTGCCCGGGCAAAAACTGGTTACGAAAGCTTGGTGACTTCGCTGGGGACCCGGTTAAGCTTTGAAATTAATTATAAATTGTCTCTATCAATTAGAAATTAAAAATTCATATTTATTTAATTTATAATTCTTTTCTTTCAAAATTTTTATTACTTATAATATTTATTATATTTTTTTATTATTAATTTTTTTATTTTATTTTTAGATATTAAATTTCATTTTTATTTGTTTATCAAAGCTTTATAATCAAGCTTGTCCCTTTTAAGTGGGAGTGAAAGCGACGTCTTCGTGAGAATTTATTCTCCGTGTCAGACCTAGCGAGTAGATTTCGGGGTTCATATGCTCTTTGTCTTCGTGAGAATTTATTCTCCGTGTCAGGCATAGGGAAATGTGTCCCCTCGAATTGAACTCAATTTGCTTAAGTCTGTAATGGACTAGGATTGAGGGTTTACCAGCCCAAGAGGGCACCAACAAGGACAGTTCGAGTACCTTTACTCCTAGAACTGAAACCCTACAAATAATAAAACCTAGAAATTCTCCTGATCTAAGACAATACTGAAACCCTGTCCGTAGGTATACACAATGGAGAAATAAGCTCTAGCTTTTAATATTTTATTTTTTTTATTTTTTTCCTGAATAAATGCATGCGAACTAGAAATCATGCAGTTAGTTTAATTTTTCCTAACAAAGCATGGAACTAGAAAGCATGAGGTTAGGATTTATACCTTGATAGATATAATTTTTCTTTCCATTAGTTGGTACTAACCATTTTATTTTTTTTCTTATTTTTTCCCATGCATGTTAGTTTGCTCTAACTTGTTTATATTGATTTCTTTTGTTTGCATTGCATGATCATAGCATAACCAAAAGGTGTTGACTTGAAAGACTGTTCATCAAATTTGAAAGAATTCATAAATGGACAAAAATTTTTATGATCAAACAAAATATGACGCAGCCAAGGAAAGATATCCTGAGGAAACTCCGAGGATAGAAGCAAGCTATGCACTCAAAGATCCTGTTATATTAATACCAAAAGTA